TTACTGCATTAACAAGTAACATTTGCAGTCCCAATAGGATAACGGCAGCTGCATAAGTCCAACCTTTCTAGATACTCTCCTAAAATCATTTTGTCAATAAAGAGAGAAAGAAGGGGAAGAATACACATAATTGCTGGGCATGGTGGCTCACACCTGTAATACCAGGCCAAGGTGGGGGCATTGGTTGAGTCCAGGAGTTCAAGACCAGCCTGGGCAACATAGTGAGGCTGTGTCTCTACTAAAAACTAAAAAAATTAGCTGGGTGTGGGGGTGCATGCCTGTAGTCCCAGCTATTCAGGGGCACTGAGGCGGGAGGATGGGAAGTTGAGGCTGCGGTGAGCCAAGACTGCACCACTGCACTCCAGCCTGGGCAACAGACCAAGACACTGTCTCAAAACAAACAAACAAACAAACAAACAAAACACACACACAATCCATGCTTACAGCATAATTAGGAGACAGAAAACACCACAAACTATGATGGTAAAGTGCTGCCACCTGGCCACTGTTACTCTGAAGTCCTACTATCACCATTAACACCAGGGAGCTCAGTTCTCTGGTAGCATTCCCTACTGTGAACCCTACTGTGAACTGGCCTACAAAGGACAGCCACCTCTCAGTGAAAGTCTAGTAACTGTCATACTACAGCATGCAGGGTTTACCACCACCACACTTAGCATTAACAAACAAATAAGAATCCTGGTACTTAGAATAGAATAAGAATACACAGAATAGACTAAGTTAAGGAAAAGAGGAGAATGGACAAATACAAGAGAAAGAAGGCGGAGGAGGAAAAAAAAAAAGGAGAAAGAGGAAGAGAAGAAAAAACGGGCTGGGCGTGGTGGCTCACGCCTATAATCCCAGCACTTTGAGAGGCTGAGGCGGGCACATCACCTGAGGTCAGGAGTTTGAGACCAGCCTGGCAAACATGATGAAATCCTGCCTCTACAAAAAAAAAAAAATTAGCCAGGTGCGGTGGCGGGCACCTGTAATCCCCACTAGTCAGGAGGCTGAGGCAGGAGAATGGCTTGAACCCGGGAGGCAGAGGTTGCAGTGAGCCGAGATGGTGTCACTGCACTCCAGCCTGGGTGACAGAATGAGACTCCGTCTCCAAAAAAAAAAAAAAAAAAGAAGAAGAAAATAAAAGAAAATTCTAGAAAAGGTAAACTAATCTATAGCGACAGAAAGGAGATCAATGGTTACTTGGATGTCAGGAGTGGAGAGAGAGATTGATTGATTGCAAAGGGGTACAAGAGGATGATGGAAAGGTTTTATATCTTGATTGTGGTGGTGGTATCCCAGGTGTATATGGTATATCTGTCAAAATGCATAGAATTTTACACTTTAACTGTATAATTTATTATATTGAAATTATACCCCAATAATTTTTTTTTTTTTTTTTTGAGATGGAGTTTCGCTCTTGTTGCCCAGGCAGCAGTGCAATGGCGTGATCTCGGCTTACCACAACCTCTGCCTCCCCGGTTCAAGTGATTCTCCTGCCTCAGCCTCCCGAGTAGCTGGGATTACAGGCATGTGCCACCATGCCCGGCTAATTTTGTATTTTTAGTAGAGACAGGGTTCCTCTGTGTTGGTATGGCTGGTCTTGAACTCCAGACCTCAAGTGATCCGCCCACCTTGGCCTCCCAAAGTGCTCGGATTACAGGCGTAAGCCACTGCACCCAGCCTTCATGTATAACTTTTAACTCTCCGTAAACGTAATTACTGTTGACTGGAAGCTTTACTGATAACATAAACAGTAGATTATCACATATGATGTATGTTCTATGTATTATACACTGTATTCTTACAATAAAATAAGCTAGAGAAAAGAAAATGTTATGCCTGTAATCCCAGCACTTTGGGATGCTGAGGCAGGAGGAATGCTTAGGACAGGAGTTCAAGACCATCCTGGGAAATGTAGTGAGAATCCGTTTCTACAAAACATTAAAAAAATAGCTGGGTTCAGGAGGCTGAAGTGGGAGGATCGCTTGAGCCTGGGAGGTGAAGGTTGCACTGAGCCAAGATCTTGCTACTGCACTCCAGCCTGGGCAACAGAGCAAGACACTGTCTTTAAAAAAAAAAAAAAGCGGGGGAGAGAGAATATATTTACTATTCATTAAGTGGAAGTGGAAATGGCTCATCATAAAGTCTTCATCTTCATCGTCTTCATGTTGAGTAGGCCAAGGAGGAGGAAAAGAGGGGTTGGTTGGAGTATTAGTGGGAGAAGAGGCGGAAGAGGTAGAATAGGGGGTTGCGGGGGCGGGGGTTCAGAAGAGCCAGGCATATCGGTATAACATTTTTTTTTTTTTTTTTCGAGATGGAGTCTTGCTCTGTTGCCCAGGCTGGAGTGCGGTGGTGTGATCTCAGCTCACTGCAACTTTCGCCTCCCAGGTTCAAGTGATTCTCCTGCCTCAGCCTCCTGAGTAGCTGGGATTACAGATGCCCACCACCACAACTGGCTAATTTTTATATTTTTAGTAGCAATGGGGTTTTACCATGTTAGCCAGACTGGTCTGGAACTCCTTTCCTCATGATCCGCCCACCTCAGCTTCCCAAAGTGCTGGGATTACAGGTGTGAGCCACTGCGCCTGACCAGTATAACTTTTATTGGAAAAAATCCACATGTAAGTGGATGGATTTGAATTGCACAGGTCCATTTATATGTTGATTTTCTTCCATCTCTGGGGTAACATTTCTATCACCCTCTTAAAGTTTTCTTGCACCCTTTTGCAACCAAACTCTCTCTTAATCCTTGACATTCGAGCAACCACTGGTCTGCTGTCACTATAGTTCAGTTGGCATTTTCTAGAATTTATCCCATGAGAAAAACTTAGGCAAATGTACAATAATATATGTATATTTATCTCAGTGTTGTTTAGACTTGTCAACTGAAGAAAAAAATTAAATGACCATTATTAAAAGACTGAATAATGACCATCTATACAATAAAATACTGTACACCAATTGTAAGAGTAAATATAGTGCTAAGGTAAAATTTTTTATGTAAGTAATACATGGTACATTCTGTTATACCAAAGGAAACCATTACAAAAAGGGTAAGGCTCTTTTGTCACTCCCAACCCAGAAAATCACTGTAAAAGTTTGATGTGCATTTTTCCAGGCTTTTTCTATGCATGTATACATCTACATGCATATTTATACACACATAAAAATATATATTAATTTTTTTTGAGACAGTCTTGCTCTGTTGCCCAGACTGGAGTACAGCGGCACGATCTTGGCTCACTGCAACCTCCGCCTCCCCGGCTCAAGCTATTCTCCTGCCTCAGCCTCTCAAGTAGCTGGGATTACAGGCACCTGCCACCACGCATGGCTAATTTTTTGTATTTTTAGTAGAGACAGGTTTTCACCATGTTGGCCAGGCTGGTTTTGAACTCCTGATCTCAAGTGATCTGCCCACCTCAGCCTCCCAAAGTGCTAGCATTACAGGCATAAGCCACCATGCCCGGCCACATAATAGTATTTTGAAGGTACATGGGTTTTGCACAAATTCCTTATCCTATGTCCAGTTCTGCAACCTGCCTTTTCTACTCAACAATGTCTTTGTAATCTCTTCATGTTAATACATACAATATACAATTTACCTTTTTCTCAATAGCTACCTATAACAGACATTTCATAGTGTATTTGGCCTTGCCTTTACTGAGAAATCTTTAGATGAATTCTAACTTTTTGCCATTGCTAAATTAAATTTATATGTATTGATATAGAAATATCTCTATATTATATTAAGTTTTTTAGAAAGCTGAAGTGGAATATTTATATAGACATAAACTTTTATATAGATATCAAAAAGATTGGAAGGACACCAGTTTGTACATTATTTTAGTGGAAGGAAGGAGATTGGTTTATAAACAGACTTTGACTTTTTCTTCTTTTTCTTTTTTTTTTTTTTTTGAGACAGTTTCACCCTTGTTGCCCAGGTTACAGTGCAATGGCACAATCTTGGCTCACTGCAACCTCCGCCTCCTGGGTTCAAGTGATTCTCCTGCCTCAGCCTCCCAAGTAGCTGATATTACAGCATGTGCGACCACGCCCGGCTAATTTTGTATTTTTAGTAGAGATAGGGTTTTTCCATGTTGGTCAGGCTGGTCTTGAACTCCTGACCTCAGGTGATCCACCCGCCTCAGCCTCCTAAAGTGCTGGGATTACAGGCATGAGCCATCGTGCCCGGCCTTTTTTCTTTGAGACAGAGTCTTGCTCTGTTGCCCAGGCTGGAGTACAGTGGCACCATCTCAGCTCACTGCAACTTATGCCTCTTAGGTTCAAGCTATCCTCCTGCCTCAGCCTCCCGAGAAGCTGAGATTACAAGTATGCGCCACCATGCCTGGCTAATTTTTTTGTATTTTTTCACCATGTTGGCAAGGCTGGTCTTGAACTCTGACCTCAAGCGATCCACCTGCCTTGGCCTCCCAAAGTGCTGGGAATACAGGTGTGAGTCATGGCACCCAGCCAGACTGACTTTTCCAATTTTTTCAGTGATAATCTTTTTTCCTGATAATATGTTCACAACCAAGTAATACCAGGGACTGCTGAGAAGTGGATGATGAAGGGTGATAAGGTATAGACTGTGCCCTTCTCTTTGCAGCTCCTGAGAGGGGTTGGGGAGGGACTGGGGGAGGTGGGAAACAGCTTTGGCTGCCCAGAGCAGCTCTGAAGGGGGCCCGATGCTGAACAGGATATCTGAGGGCAGAGCGGGACACCTATTCTGGGGATGGAAGGAGGAAAGACCGTTGAGGCCACTTCCTAGGAGGAGGACTAGGGGTGGGAGAAGTGATCTTCCGCTTAAGGACCCAGCCCACCCTTCACCCACTTCAGGTATGGACTTGAGACAGAGAAGAGATTTAAAATCAGATTTAAAACCATCATCTCCCAGGAGTGTGGCTCCTCCACCTGCTCCCCAGCTGTTCTGGTTCCAAAGGTTCAAGCCAGGTTCAACTCCCACTCCTCTAGTCTCCAAATAAGCATAGCACGGAGAGTCTGAGTGAAAATCCACTTTAATAATCCAGCTTCAGCTCAGCTAAGAACTTCCCCTCTCAGGTGCAAAGGGATGGCAGGGAAGTCTTTCCAAGAGGGCTCAATCCACTAAGAGATTATGGCTCAGAGAAGGGAACAGCTCAAAGAAGCCCTATAATGGGAGGCAACATGGAATTTGAAATTAGTGAGTGACCAGATGGAGATGTCCTACCACCCACCTCATACCAACATTATGTTCCAGCAGGAGAAGCACCGAGGTTTCATCTGTTCTTGACAGCCACCCCAGTCTTCTCAGCCCTGATACCCTCTTCCCATCCCTTCATTTTCCATTTCTTTGGGTCAGGGCCCCTGAGCCTTTAGAAGAATATGTACCGTTGTTTTATCTCTTTTTTCTCTTTTGTAGAGACATGGTCTTGCCATGTTGCTCAGGCTGATCTCAAACTCCTGGCCTAAGCAATCATCCCACCTTCCAAAGTGTTGACATTACAGCATGAGCCATTGTGGTTGGCCAGGACCCTTGTTTTCCTACATGGCCCCAGTAAGACAACCAGCCCCCACTACTCAGGCCAGTCACTTTGTGATGGCAATGCTGTCCCAGCAACCAATCCAGGCACTAGAGGGGAAGGAGCCCAGCTGCCATTGAGAGGGTCTGGGGTGGGTTACCTTGAAGAGGGTGAGGGTCTGGAGGACTCCTGTAGTACAGGCCATCTCCCGGATAGAGTGCATGGCCAGTTGGGGGCTGCCTAAATCTAGCACCCGCAGCCCCAGCCGAGAAGCCAAGATAGGTCCAATGGTGGTTCCACAAGGGGAGTCATTCCGCACCATGAGATCCTAGGGGGAGAAGGAGACTCATGAGCAATATGCAGTGTGTGCTTATCAGAGCCAAGGAGGACGCCATCTTAGAACTGCAGGGCGGGAAGGGGCTTGGGAGACAGTCCATTCGGAGCAAAAATCAAAGCCAATGCTAAATGGCAGACCCCAAAGGACAATATATTCTGAATTGGTCCCATTCGCTCTCCATCACCACCACCCTAGTTCCAATCCATTCTCCACACAGCAGGAAGGGGGATTTTAAAAAGTATCCATCCTTGTCACCCTCTTGCTTAATATCCACACCCAGAGAAAAAGAACACTCAGTGATATTAATGTCTTTAAAAATATTGCTACTGACATTTTAAAATGATTTTCTTTGTATTATGGTAAAAGAGTCAATAAGAAAATGAAAATACGATGCTAGATATCAAGGTTTTCAGTGTAAGAGGAAACAGAATTACAAAATCAAATTGGTAATAACTATTTAACTAACCAAGAATAATTTTATGAATAAGAATTACGGTATTAACTCATGATTTTTATTTAAACATTTTTATTTTATTTTATTTATTTTGAGATGTAGTCTCCCTGCGATGCCCAGGCTGGAGTGCAGTGGCACGACCTCAGCTCACTGCAACCTCTGCCTCCTGGGTTCAAGTGATTCTCCTGCCTCAGCCTCCCGAGCAGCTGGGATTACAGGCACCCACCACCACGCCCAGCTAATTATTGTGTTTTTAGTAGAGATGGGGTTTCACCATATTGGCCAGGCTGTTCTCGAACTCCTGACCTCAACTGATCCATCCATCTCGGCCTCTCCAAGTGCTGGGATTACAGGCCTGAGCTACTGCACCTGGCTTCATGATTTTTAAAATATGTACTTTTTTCTTGCTGTGTCCATGGAAATGTTCCCAAAGTACCATCCCCTCCCCAAAGAACAATGAACACTTGCAGTGCCAGACCATGGTCTCTAATACCATTGCTCATCAAAAGCTATTGAGTCTGGGGGGTTAAATGAACAAGACACGCCTGCAATTTTTGTTGTTCCAAAGAGCAAGGAGACTTCCAAGAGTCAAAGGCCACAGGGGTTATGCTGAAGGGGCTCCCATTGGTCAAAGCCATGACAATTCACACATCAAATATAATAATTATAGTGGACACTGAATAAATGAAATTCCATGATCTATGATAGTCAGAAAGGGAAAAGCAGGCCAGGTGTGCTGGCTCACACCTGTAATCCCAGCACTTTGGGAGGCCAAGGCGGGCAGATCACATAATGCCAGGAGTTCGAGACCAGCCTGGCCAACATGGTGAAACCCTGTCTCTATTAAAAATACAAGAAACAGGCCGGGTGCAGTGGCTCACGCCTATAATCCCAGCATTTTGGGAGGCCGAGGTGGGCGGATCACGAGGTCAGGAGATCAACACCATCCTGGCTAACAGGGTGAAACCCCGTCTCTACTAAAAATACAAAAAAATTAGCGGGGCCTAGTGGTGGGCGCCTGTAGTCCCAGCTACTCGGGAGGCTGAGGGCAGGAGAATGGCGTGAACCCAGCAGGTGGAGCTTGAAGTAAGCCGAGATCACGCCACTGCACTTCAGCCTGGGCGACAGAGCAAGATTCCAACTCAAAGGAAAAAGAAAAAAAAAAATACAAGCAACAGCCAGGCATGGCGGCTCACGCCTGTAATCCTAGCACTTTGGGAGGCCCAGACGGGCGGATCACGAGGCCAGGAGATCGAGACCATCCTGGCTAACACGGTGAAACCCCATCTCTACTAAAAATATAAAAAAATTAGCCGGGCGTGGTGGTGGGCGCCTGTAGTCCCAGCTACTCGGGAGGCTGAGGGCAGGAGAATGGTGTGAACCGAGGAGGCGGAGCTTGAAGCGAGCCAAGATCACGCCACTGCACTTCAGCCTGGGCCACAGAGCAAGATTCCAACTCAAAGAAAAAAGGAAAAAAAAAAAAAAAAAAAAAACAAGAAACAGCCAGGCATGGTGGTGCACGCCTGTAATCCCAGCTACTCGGGTGGCTGAGGCATGAGAATCTCTTGAACCTGGGGGGAGGAGGTTGCAGTGAGCAGAGCCTGGGCGACAGAGCGAGACCCTGTCTTAAAAAAAAAAAAAAGGAAAAAGGAAAAGGAAAAATCCTTCTTTGTCACTATTTGAGATGACATTTCACCTTGAAAAGTGGATAACAGAAAGAATTAGCATTTATCCTGCTTTCCAATAGGAATGATATTCCATGATAACCAAAGAACCCTAGTTGATTGGAGGGAAGAAGTTCCACTTCACAGAAGAATGGAAGACTGAAAGAATTCAGGGGAAGCAGGCATTTTTCGGTAAATTCTAATGAAATTACTGATTTAGGCAAGGATTACTGTGTTAAAACCATTAGGTGTCTGGTTAATAGGGAACTCATCACTTATATGGGTCACTGTCAGGTCAATAGTGGGAAAACCACCATATAATGAAGGGGTAAGAGGCCATCACTGGTCCAGTGGTCAATCTTTGCAAGGCTAAGGGTGACCCACCCAGATATCATGTGTGTGATGCCATATGAATACACCAGCCATGTCTTCTAGCCAAAAATGTTTAACTTGAGGCTGGGCACAGTGGCTTACGCCTGTAATCCTAGCACTTTAGGAGGCTGAGGTGGATGGATCACTTGAGGTCAGGAGTTCAAGACCAGTCTGGCCAACATGGTGAAACCCTGTCTCTACTAAAAATACAAAAATTAGCTGGGCATCATGGTGCACACGTGTAATCCCAGCTACTTTGGAGGCTGAGACAGAAGGATAGCTTGAACTGGGGAGGTGGAGGTTGCAATGAGCCGAGATCACGCCATTAGACTCCAGCCTGGGCAACAGAGTAAGACTCTCACTCTGTCAAAAAAAAAAAAACAAACTTTAACTTGAATGCATCAAGTCTTTAGAAATTCCAGTTGATAGGAAATACAGGGCTTACAGACAAGCGAAAGACACCATGGGGCAGCAAGGAGACATATCCAGAAGTTTCTTGAATAAGCCAATGTAAAAAGGGGTGGAAGGAACTGTGCTACGTTAGAAGACATTTAAGCAACATATTAGCCAAATATAACGCATGGTCCTGAGTTGGATACTAGGGTGGGTCAAATAACTGTAAAAAAATATTTTGAGGATAACTGGGGAAAATGGAAAGTCATCTGTGCATTAGATGAGGTACAGGTTTACTGAAACAACAATTTCCTGAAATGGGATTGAGACTGGTAGATCATGCCTGTAATCCCAGCAGTTTGGGAGGCCAAGATGGGAGGATTGCTTGAAGCCAGGAGTTCAAGACCAGCCTGGGCAACATAGCAAGAACCCCATTTTAACTAAAAATAGAAAATTAGCCAGCATGGTGGCATGCATCTGTAGTACCAGCTACTTGGGAGGTTGAGGCAGGAAGATCTCCTGAGCTCAGGAGTTTGAGGGTGCAGTGAGCTATGATCATGCCACTGCACTCCATCCTGGGAGACAAAGCAAGACCGTTTCTAATTTTAAAAAAACAATTAAAAAAAAACTGAAATAGAAAGGTGAAGATGACTGAGTGAAAAGAGGCAACAAAAATATATCCAATATAATATCATTTTTAAAAACTGTATATGAAGTTCATGCATAGAAAAAAATCTGGAAGACTACACCAAATTTCTGCAGATTAGTGTTTTACTTTCTCATCTCTATCTGTATTTTCTAATTTTCTAAAATACATGTGTCCTACTTCTGCCGTAAGTTATTAAAGAAAAATCTCCCAATGTCTTCTCACTGCCTTAGAATAAAATTGAAATGCCCTTCCATGGCCTAGGTATTCCTGCATGATCACTGAGCTGGGCCTCTTCCCTGACCCCCTCCTGCTCTCATCCTGGCTCTACCATCCTGCCTTTCTCTCCTCCTAATAGAGAGCTCATTCCTGGTCCCCTTGGGGCCTTTCTACTTGTGCCCTCTGGCTGGGACCCTCCCATAGCTGCTTGTTTCTCAGTGGTTAGGTCTCAGCTCCAATATCCAATATCAGAGAAGGCTTTCTGGGGGCAGAACAATTTAGCTTTCTGAAAGGAAGAGCTAGCACTGTACAGCAGAAAGAGCCCTGGGCTGGGAGTCAGGATGCTGCGGTTCTACGCCTGACTATGCCAGAACTTGCCTGCTATGATTGTCACTGGACCACCCATGCCCGAGTCCCTGATATAGACAGGTAGATAGATATAGAAATAGACAGTCATGCACTACATAGTGACATTTCAGTCAAGGATAGACTACATGGCAGTGGTCTCATAAGATTATAATGGAGCTGAGAAATTCCTGTCGCCTAGTGACATCACAGCTGTCGCAATGTTGTGGCACAATGCATGACTCACTTGTCTGTGATGACGCCAGTGTAAATAAATCTACTGTGCTGCCAGTCATATAAAAGCATAACACATGCAATTATGTACAGCATGCAATACCTAAGAATGATAATAAATGACTATGTTATGGTTTATGTGTTTACTATATTATGCTTTTTATTGTTATTTATTTATTTTGAGATGGCGTTTCACTCATTGCCCAGGCTGGAGTGCAATGGCGCCATCTTGGCTCCCTGCAACCTCTGCCTCCCAGGTTCAAGCGATTCTCCTGTCCCAGACTCCTGAGAAGCTGGGATTACAGGTGTGCACCACCGCACCCAGCTAATTTTTGTATTTTCAGTAGAGACGAGGTTTCACCATGTTGGCCAACTGGTTTTGAACTCCTGACTTCAAGTGATCCGCCCGCCTCGGCCTCCCAAAGTGCTGGGATAACAGGCGTAAGCCACAATGCCCGGTCTATTGTTATTTTAGAATGTACTCCTACTTATTGGGGGAAGAAAAAAGTTAACTGTAAAACAGCCTCAGGCAGGTTCTTTAGGAGCTGTGCCAGAAGGAGCTTTGCCAGAAGAAGGCATTGTTATCATAGCAGATAGCAGCTCCCTGAATGTCAGTATCCCTGAAGACCTTCCAGTGGGACAAGATGTTGAGGTGGAAGACAGGGACATTGATAATCCTGATCCTGTATAGGCCTAGGCTAATGTGTATGTTTCTGTCTTGGTTTTTAACCAAAAAGTTTAAAAATTTTTAAAATAACTAAAAATTTTAAAAATAGAAAAAAGCTTATAGAATAAGGATACAAAAACGAAATTATTTTGAATAGCTGTACTATGTGCTTGCGTTTTAAGCCAAGTGTTATTACAAAGGAGTCAAAAATTTAAAAAATGGAAGTTTACAAAGTAAAAAAGTTGGCCGGGTGCAGTAGCTCACGCCTGTACTCCCAACACTTTGGGAGGCCCAGGCAGGCAGATCACAAGGTCAGGAGTTCGAGACCAGCCCAACCAACAGGGTAAAACCCCATCTCTACTAAAAATACAAAAATTAGCTGGGTATGTGGTGGGTGCCTGTAATCCCAGCTACTCAGGAGGCTGAGGCAGGAGAATCGCTTGAACTAGGGAGATGGAGGTTGCAGTGAGCTGAGATCGCGCCACTGCACTCCAGCCTGGGTGACAAAGCGAGACTCCGTTTCAAAAATAAATAAATAAATAAATAAATGTCAGCTAATTTATTGTTGAAGAAATACAATTTTCAAAATAAAGCCTAAGTGTCCAGCATTGATAAAATCTGCACTAGTGTACAGTACTGTCCTAGGCCTTCACATTCACTCACCATTCAGGGCAACTTCAAGTGCTGTAAGCTCCATTCATAAGTGCCCTATACAGGTGGACCATTTTTAATCTTTTATAACATATGCTTGCTGTACCTTTTCTCTTTCTTTCTCTTTTTTTTTTGTTCTGTTTTGTTTTGTTTTTTGGAGACAGGGTCTCACTCTGTCACCCAGGCTGGAGTGCAATGGCAAGATCTCAGCTCACTGCAACCTCCACCTCCCGGGCTCAAGAGATCCTTCCCAAGTAGGGAAGGCCTCCCAAGTAGCTGGGACTACAGGCATGCACCACCACGCCTGGCTAATTTTTGTATTTTTTGGTAGGATGGGGTTTCACCATGTTGGTCAGGCTGGTTTTGAACTCCTGACCTCAAGTGATCTGCCTGTCTTGGCCTCCCAAAGTGCTGGGATTACAGGTGTGAGCCAACGTGCCTGGCCTCCTGTACCTTTTCTGTTTAGGTATACTTACCATTTTGTTACAATTACCTACAGTTTTCAGCACAGTAAGAAGCCGTACAGGTTTGCAGCCTAGGAGCAATGGGCTACACCACACAGCCTGGGTGCACAGCAGGCTGTCCGTCTCGGTTTGTGTACATACACTCCATGATGCTCACACAACAACAAAATTGCCTAATGATGCCATTTCCCAGAACGTATCCCTATTGTTAAGCAATGCATGACAGTATATGTGTGTATATATGCGTACGTACAATACTGTGTTACATACATATATGTATACAACATATATATGTACACAAACACACTGAGGAGAAAGGACTATATGGCTGATTTCTCAGGCAAGAGAGAAAATGAGTAGCTGGGGTTCCATACTCCCCAGCCCTGAACTTTCCCTGTGGAAGCTCCTAGGGTGTGTACGAGACACAGGAAAGTGGGGGTGCTGCAGGGAAAGACAGGCCTACCGTGTGCCAGGAGCACACTGTACCTTTAGTCTTCATAGAAATCCAGCAAAGTAGGCATCACTATCACTATTCTACAGATGTGGAAACTGAGACTTAGAAAGGCTAGGAGACTAGTCCAAGGTCACACAGCTAGCACCGCAGCAGAGCCAGCATGGAATCCAGCTATATTCAAAATCCCTACTTTTCTCACTCTACTGGGACCCCCTCCACTGAAGGCCATCTACCAGGTTCCCTGTTCATGGGGGGCCCATCTGTTTGTGTCCCCACCAAGCTCCCTCCATCACACCTTGCCAGGCGGGGCCCGCCCTCACCTGCAGGGGGACCTTGACTTTGTTGGCCACCTCTCGGATCAGGGCCTCTGACACTGCGTTTGAGGCATAGCGTTGCTTGCTGTTCACCTTGATCACGGGGCCCTGGGGAGAGTCAAGGGTGAGGCAGAGGTAATGACAGGCCCAAAGGGAATGAGTGGGGGCCCAGAACAGCCAGGCCTCCAAGTCCCCAGGGAGAAATGGCACATCTCACCTTGTGGAATAAGGGCCGGTGGTTCTCCTCATGCTTGTCCCTGTAAGAGACAGGTAAGGGCCAGGCATAGCAAACAGGAGGAGGCCTGTCAACACTCACCACCCTCCCATGGCAGACATCACTAATAGATCACCACTCTTTCCCGCCCAGCCCAGTGGGACTTTAGAGTCATTCCATACACAGGGTTCCGGGCAGCCTCTAGTAATAGATGGAAACAAGTTTGTAGACAAAGGCTATTCCACACACCTGGGTTAGGCATTGCATGACTTTGATCGAGTTGGTCTCGGAGTAGTGAAAAGGAAGTGCCCCTGAACCTCCCAGCAGAATGAAGAAGGGAGAAAGGAAGAGGCTGGGGCCAGGGCAGAGCCTTGAGGCAGGCTACGCTTGGGTCCCCAGTTATGTGAAGACTGTGACTGGCACTAGAGACTCACAGGTAGTTGGGATGCACAGCATGGGCCATGTCTGCGCTGATCATGAAGGACTTGGGTATGGCTTCCTCAAAGGCCGTCGGGTGCTGGCACGAGGCTGAGATCCGCCGCAGCACCAGCTCTGTCAGCAGTGACTGTGCTCCCTGTGCACTCTCAGACCCCACCTGGCGACAGCAGAGTCCTGACTCTGGGAATCTGGGCTCAGGGGCCTGATCTTGGAAGCCAGTGAGAGGGGTCCACTGCCCAACTAGCCCAAAACCCCACTGAGTCACTGGGTGTTCTTAGCAACACCCCTAACCTGGGGTCATCACTGAACACTGGACAGTGGGCTGAGGCCAAACTAACTCGCAGTCTTAACAGTACTGATGGGTTTCCTGCACTACTCCCCTTCCTCCTCCTGTGACCCTCACATCACAGGATGACAGGGTCATCCTGTGACCCTCAGCAGAGGTGCCCCACCACACTGGTTAATTTTCTTTTATGCATATGACAGAGACTGCTAACTGTCCATGATATCTTTTATAACAGAACACCCAAGTTGTAGTTGAGCACTTAACTACCTAGCTAGAGATGACATTCCCAGGCTCCCCTGCAGCTAAGTTCTGTGGAATGTAAGCAGTGATGAATGTCATTTCTGGATTACACCCTTGAAGCCAGGGGGTGTCTACTGCCCCTTTTGTATTTTTAGTAGAGACAGGGTTTCACCGTGTTAGCCAGGATGGTCTCGATCTCCTGACCTCGTGATTCGCCTGTCTCAGTCTCCCAAAGTGCTAGGATTACAAGCGTGAGCCGCGCCCAGCCTTCTTTTCTTTTCTTTTTTTTTTTTTTGCCAAATTCAAATTGCCCTTCCTACTAACTCAGTGCAGACATGACGACCAGAGCTGGAACGGCCACCCTGAATCCTGAAATGGAAGTCATGTGTTCAGGATGGCAGGGACCCCTACTAAACTGTTAACTCTGACCTGGGTTGTTACATGAGAGAGCACTATCTGTTCCAGCTCTCTTATGCAGCTGAGACTGCAGCCTCACACACACAGGCATCATGAGGACCTACTCTGTGCTGAGCCCTGGGGCTACGAGGAGGGACTGGGTAGAGTCCCTGTCCTAAAGGAAGAAGCTCACCATGTGGCACAAAGAGAGATACAGGAAAGACGGTCACCCTCGAATAAGCAGATGTATGTTGAGTCAGAGGAGACACCAAGTGCTAAGAAGGCCCAGGTGGCATCTCCTCTGTCTTTGGGGCCCCCAGAAGAGCCCTGGCTCATGGTGGATGCCTGGCACAAGTTGGCTGTGGAAGACTCTGCAGAGGGGACCCTCCCCAGAACCCTCCACGTACCTCTTCGTTGTCATACAGTGTGATCATGCGCACATGAGGCTCCGTGGCCAGGGAGCCAGGGCCTGCACAGGAATCTATCAAGGCCTGGTTCAGGGAAGGAAATGAGAGCATCATCTCCAACTTCCTTCTGCTGGAACTCAGCCCACCAGCACTTTGGGTGTGCACACTTCCCCGTCCACCAGCACCTTGGGTGTACACGTTCCCCTGTCTGCCTTCCGTGGCCATGGCTTTTATCAATTAGGGCACTGCCTGGCAGAGGGTGTGGTGGGGACCTTTCTTTTCTTTTTTTTTGTCGAGACAGAGTCTCGCTCTGTCGCCCAGGCTGGAGTGCGATGGTGCGATCTCGGCTCACTGCAAGCCCCGCCTCCAGGGTTCACGCCATTCTCCTGCCTCAGCCTCCCGAGTAGCTGGGACTATATGCGCCCGCCACCACACCAGGCTAATTTTTTTTTTGTATTTTTAGTAGAGATGGGGTTTCACCGTGTTAGCCAGGATGGTCTCAATCTCCTGACCTCGTGATCTGCCCGTCTCAGCCTCCCAAAGTGCTGGGATTACAGGCGTGAGCCACCGTGCCCAGCCTTCTTTTCTTTCCTTTTCCTTTTTTTTTTTTTTTTTTGCCAAATCAATAGCTACATAGGTAGAAACCTTTAGGGTGTGGTAGGGACCGACTTCCTTCCTTCCTTCTTTCCTTCCTTCCTTCTTCCTTCCTTCCTTCCTTCTTCCTTCCTTCCTTCCTTCCCTCCCTTCCCCCTCACTCCTTCCTTTTCTTCCTTTTGTTGCCAAATCAATAGCTAGGTAGAAACCTTTTCAACTGGGACAGGAGGCACCATCCTTTGGGTGTTCTCTACCTTCCCATGCAAAAGCCAGTAGGAAGATGTGGAGGAAGAAGAGAGGAAGAGCTGAGAGTCCTGGAAAGTCAAAAGGCTACACAGATCACATAAACTGATTGGCCTCAGGGAAAAGACTAACGTTCAAAGAGGTGACAGACTCCATCAAGGTGACATGACTGGCTGGCTGCCTGCAGAAGTGGATGCAGGTCCCAGGTCCGGCTCTGGTCTCAGTTACAGCTCAAAGCCTATCTCCAGCCACAGGATTACAGGGAAGGAAAGGCAGAAAAAGGCAGAGGGAGATCAAGGGCAAGAGCAGAGAAAGAAAGGGAATTGACTAGGGTGGAGAGAAGGTGGGGAATAGCAAGGTGACTAGGAAGACAGGCTACCTGACTGAGATCCCAAGAAACAGGGAGAAGGCTGGGGCTTAAGCCTGAGGGGTGGAGTAGGAAGCAGAAGGAGGTGGATGATACTGCCTTGTGGGATGATAAGGCCTTTCCCTGAGGCAGAGGTTAACTTCAGGAGAAGCAGCAGGAGCAAGGCTAGAATAAGACACCATGGTGCTCTAATCAACTTGTCGGCCTTCCTCTTGCCTCAACCCCCTGACAGTGCAAGGACAGAGTCCAAAGGTAGTGATGCTGAGGCTGCAGCATTTAGGGCCCCCTCCTGGTCCATCCAGCACCAGCAGACTGAGCAGGTAGACAATGGCCCTCTCTCACAACCTGCTGGGGCTTTAGGCAGCTCTTCCGACCCCAAACATGCCATCTCTGCTGGTGGTATGTACTGCCTAGGGTGCCCCAGCTCCTCACCTGCAGGGCACAGAAGCAACTGTGCAGATTGTCCAGCCGAGGAGCAAAGATGAACTCATCATAGGCACCACCCAAGACCTAGAGAGATAAGACAGTCAGCCCGACCTTCAACCCTCCACCCTTACTCACCTTTCTTTTGCTCCCAAGGGCCTCCTTGGTTTCTTGCGCAACCTCTCCCTGACCCCCAGCTTAGTGCACTATTTTCTTTTTTCTTTTTTTTTGAGATGAAGGTTCGCTCTTGTTGCCCAGTCTGAAGTGCAATGGCTTGATCTCAGCTCACTGCAACTTCTGCCTCCTGGGTTCCAAGGATTCTCGTGCCTCAGCCTCCTGAGTAGCTGGGATTACAGGCACGCACCACCAGGCCCAGCTAATTTTTGTATTTTTATTAGAGACGGGGTTTCAACATGTCGGTCAGGCTAGTCTTGAACTCCTGACCTTATGTGATTCCTCCCGCCTCGGCCTCCCAAAGTGTTGGGATTCCTTGCTGGGCAGGACTGAGCAGAGACTGGAGAAGGGGGCTGGGCTGGCGCTGAGGAACAGAAGGGTGGAGGCCAATAGCTCTTGACCTCTTCCTGTGGGTCAAGAAGAGGAAGGGCTGAATTGTTACCAAAAAGCCCAAAGAAGTGAACAGAGGAAACCAGTCAAAAAACAGAAACAGAAACTCAGTACATGTTCAAGCAGTACAGAGCATCCAAAGATTTAGCAATCTCTGACCATCAGCAACAGCGAGACAGAGAACAGATGGCCACATCCAGACCTCTTTCCCTAAGCAGTTCAGTGTCAGTGTGGGTCAAAGCAGACAGGGCCCACCTATAGAAGAAACTCCTGTGGAATCTGTAAAAAGGGCCAATTCCAAGACAGTCCTAGCAGGCAGGTCTGGGGTGGGGAACTTGTCTTTTTGAGAATCACCACCTAGAAACAGTGAGGGATGTGTCTACTGCGAAGAATGGGGATGAGAGTCACTGAGGGCTTGGTGGAGGTGAAGGGTGCTTCAGCAGGACTGGCTACGGGTGGCTGGGATCCTGGAGGCCCTCCACCCACAGGTTCCTACAGCCAGTCCTCACCGCAGGCTGGGTGTCTGCAAGGCAGAGCTCCATCTCCACTATGTCCTTGGGGCTCAGCCCCAGATGGGCACAGAGCAGAGACATGAGGACCGAATGGTGCCGCTCCTCCTGCAGAGCAGAAAGACGCTGGGAAGAGTCCATTCCTCCTCTCCTCCCCTCTTCTCAGGGGACTCCCCATGATCAGGGGACTCTTACCGCAGCACTGAGAGGCCCTGGCTCAGGAGTCCCCTTCTCCAGCTCCTCCTGGATGGCTGTGGCAAGAATGGGGACTCTGTGGGGAGACGTGGGTTGGGGGGGGATTGTGAGGAGGGCACAGCAGAGTGGGGCATCTGGTAAGTTCAGGTGCCTCCTGATGGGCAACTGCCCCTGCCCTTCAATTCCCAGCCCACTCCCCAAATGGCAAGGCTGTGAGGACCCTTAGAAATTAACTGGGTCCCAAGAGTAAAATGTGACTGTGGCTACCATTAGGTAATAATCACCTGATATCATTCTCCACCCCTCCCAGCCACCGCAGCCCCACCCCAGTCTCACAGGTGCATCTCTGTGTTAGGCCCAAAGTTCTCGTTGATGTTTTGCTGCAGATGGATGGCCAGGTGTGGGATGCGAAGAATGGGCCGTTCCACATGCACCAGCCGCTGCTCCAGCCGACCTGAGGTAGGGCACTGTGGCCAGCCAGACCAAGTCAGCCCAGGGTGCCTCCTATCCCAGTGGTCAGTCTTCACTCAGACTAAGCAGGACGGTCCTCTGACCAGACTGCCTCCACCCCTCTTCCCCACGGGTACCCTGAGGAGTGTGGCAGTCAGTCTTCCGAGGAGGCTCTGCCATTCCCAACCTCGGTTCCCACCTTGACAATGACGCGTCCAGCCAGAGTCAGGTCACGGTCAAACCAGGTGCTCCAGATCCCGCCACCATAGGTCTCCACACCGACTTGCTGGAAGCCCACCTGGCTGCGGCGAGACCGACGTTTCACCTGAGTGTAAAGATGGGGAAGAAATCAGAGAAGGCTTCATGACGAGATGTGGAGATGAGACTTCAGCTACACAGACAGCGGATATTAGTGTCACATGAAAGACTCAAAGTGTGGAGGAAGAGGCCAAAAAGTTTACGTTCTCCCTTACTCCAGGGGATAGAGGCTCCAGTTTGTACCTCCTGGTTCTCTTTTGCCCTGTACTCCCCCTGACACCTCCTCCCACCCCAACACCGTCCCATTTCCTTACCCGGAGGCAGGGGCTGTCCGTGTGGGCCCCGATGAGGCTGAAGCCATTGCCAGGAACATACTGGCCCCCTACAGCAAAAGCTATGATGGTAGAGGAGTTCCTAGTCATGAAGTACTGAGGAGAAGGGGAGGAAAGGCAGGGGTGTGAGTTGCATTAGCCATCTGGCACACAGGGCTTTGAGACCCAGCCTAGGGACCCGCCTTTCCATCCCCACCCCACCCCCAGTACCTTGCTCTCCGGCTTAATATTCCATTTCTCAGTCTCCTTGAGTTCACTGAAGCCAGCCTGGAGAAGGCGGTTGCGGCATTCAGCCACAGCTGTGGGAAAAGCACCCTCTCACAGCGATGGAAGCTGGTGAGGGACACATCAGCCTCCACTCTTCTCCCTTGCCCTGGCCACCACTTACCGTGGAAAGGAGAGGGACTCCGGTTCACGAACTTGAGGAGTTCCTTGGCCGCAGTCTGCACCGCCTCTTGGCGGGCCTTACCGTTCATGGCCACCTAGGGGAGGGTGCGCTCAGACTTTTACGAGGTCTGGGACCCCTGACCTTTCACCCAGGTTCCGAGGATTCTCCCATCCCCACCCCCAGAAGTGACCACTCCAAGGCACAAACCTCTGCTTATGCCCGTCCCCACCGACAGACCCAAACCCAGGGCTGAAACTCTCCGTTGAAAGCTTCAGCCCGCCGGCCCAGGATCACGACCCGGGCCCGCCCCTTAATCCGAACTTTAGCCCGACTCCCTAAGTCCCACCCCCATGTTCCTGCCCAGCTAGGAAATACTGTTCTGCTCCCAAACTCCGGGATCCCAAGCGGGCCCTATACTCTGAGGCGGCCTGCATCACGTGCGCGTCCCCAGCCCGGAGCCAAAGCCCTGTACTCCAAGGAACACCCTGACTCCTCCTCATCCACCTAGTCTCTCGCAGGACTCCCCCTTCCAGTCCCAGGAACGTCGTCAGGTCACCCTCCGCGAGGCTTTCGGTTTCGCTTTGGGTCGGGCGGCCCCACTGCAGCACCGCGCTAAGCTTGGGCCCGGGAGGGCGCCGGACCCGGTTTGGGATCGAAATTCAAGCGGGGCCGTCGGGAGCCACCTACTTGCATGGCTCCGCGCGTCGGGTCGTGTCCGCTCATCCGGCCTCCGGGCTCGGCCCGCCCCCACCGCGCCGCCTGCCCCGCCCCTCACCAGCCCTGCAAGTCCTCCGCTAGCCCCTTCAGGCCGAGCCGCACGCGCAGGCCGTCATCAGGCTTCCCCGGCCGCCCAGCCCCGCCCCGCCCCAGGCCGGGCCGCCCCGCCCCTCGGCGGGCTTACCCTATGCGCTCCGCCCCTAACTGGGCCCCCACCACCTGCCTTGCACCCGCCCTTGCTCCGCCCTTGCTCCGCCCCTAGCTTGGCCGCCCCGTCCGCCCCGCCCCTCGCCAGGCAGCACGGCCCGCCGTGCCCTTAGTCAAGCTTCCTCGTCCGCCCCGCCTCTCGCCAGGCTGCACCGCCCTCCCCGCTTTGCCCCGCCCCTCACCGGGTTTCCCCCCTCCGCTTCGGCCCTCGCTGTACCCCACCACTCGCCCTGTCCCTTGCTCCGCCCCTAGTCTGGCCGCACAGCCCGCCCCGCTCTTCGTCAGGCCTCCCTGCGCTTCCCGCCCCTAGTCAGGCAGTGGCGCCCACTCCGCCCCGCTCCTCCCCAGGCTGCGCCACACGCCCCGCCCCTAGTCACGCTTCTTCGTCCGCCCCGCCCCCTCGCCGTACCGTCCGCCCCGCTTCCGCCCCATCCCTCTCCAGGCCGCGCCTCCGCCTTCGCCCCGCCCCCGTCTCCGCCCCTGCGGGGGCTGCCCGCCCCGCACCCCCCTAGCCCCCGCCGAGCGACCCGCAGCTGCCGCCAGGGCCCTCTGCCGCCGCGGAGGTGCTAGGACAGCCGCGGACGGCCCCCTTCCCCGTGCCCCGTGCAGCGAGGGCAATAAAAAACTCGCCCCTTCCAGCTCACCGGGTCCAACGGGTACGGTACAAAGTGCTGTCTCTCGCCACAGCCGCCCTTGTGACAAAGCAATAAGGCTAATGTCCATGGGGAGCTCACGGTGAGCTTTAGCTTTATGATAAAGCTTGGCTTGTTACCTCGTTTCATCTTTACATCTGGCCCATCAACTATGTACTCTTACTGTCCCCAGTTTATGCATGGATAAGGAAAGCTGAGATACGGAGACGAGTGATCCATCGAGTAATAAACGGCACAGGTGGGGTTTGAGCTCCATCAATTTGATTGCAGAGGCTTTGAACAACCCTACAGGCTTCTCTCAGATCTTTTCTGGACCTTTTTCTATACACTTTGGTAAAGTATTATGTTACATGGGAGGTCCACAGACACAGAAGTTGACTTGCCCAAGATCACATAGCTGTTTGGGTGAATCTGTTTGGGTGAATTTGACTCTGATGTCTGTGCCCTTTCCATTTGTTAAAACAACAGAAAAAAAATTCCATATTATTGGCATTTCCAGTATTCCCATGTCAGGAGTAGTGAGTAGCAGTTTTAAACCCTATGCATCTTCCTAGATGCAGGAACTGATCAGGACTCTTGGTGGCCTCTAGATCCCAAACAGGGCCCAGCTACTAGGGGTCCAATCAAAATTCCAGACATCACAGGTTTATGGAGCAATCTGCCGTCTATATACGTGGGGTCGGGAGTGACAGGGTGGGATAGGGAGAGGCTGGAAAGGTCCTGCAGCCCTCACTTCAAACTAGTAGATATGGCAGGGGAGTTTTCAAGAATTCACGCACTAGATGCTGGCTGAAATTCATGGCATTCCCTAACCATTTGTTGAAATACCGTTATGGGTCTGGTGCAGTGGCTCACGCCTGTAATCCCAGCACTTTGGGAGGCCGAGGTGGGTAGATCACTTGAGGTCAGGAGTTCGTGACCAGTCTGGCCAGCATGGTGAAACCCTGTCTCTACTAAAAATACAAAAATTAGACGGGCGTGGTGGCGCGTGCCTGTAATCCCAGCGGCTACCCAGGAGGCAGAGGCAAGAGAATCGCTTGAACCCGGGAGGCGGAGGTTGCAGTAAGCCGAGATCGTGCCACTGCACTCCAGCCTGGGCGACAGCAGGAGACTCTGTCTCCACATACATACATACATACATACATACATACATACATACATACATACCATTATGTATAAAGCTCAATGCTGAGCAGGACATGGAGAGAACGTTCTTGTCCTCCACCTCCTGGGGAGGGGACACATTCAAGGAGGACAGTGAAAGGGCTGAAATAAGGCTACAATGTATAAGGGAAGGAGACAACCTGAATAAGGAACCACTTTTAATGTTCTTTCTGATCACAGGAAAGAGTACATGCTTGTGTAATAGATTCAAACATCACCAAAATGCATAACTTAGAAAGTGAGCCAGGCGCGGTGGTTCACGCCGATAATCCCAGCACTTTGGGAGGCCACGGCGGGCGGATCACGAGGTCAGGAGATCGAGACCATCCTGGCTAACATGGTGAAACCCCATTTCTACTAAAGATACAAAAAAAAAAAAAAAAAATTAGCCGGGTGTGGTGGTGGGCACCTACAATCCCAGCTACTCGGGAGGCTGAGGCAGGAGAATGGTGTGAACCCGGAAGGCAGAGCTTGCAGTGAGCAGAGATTGCGCAGTTGCACTGTAGCCTGGGCGACAGAGCAAGACTGTCTCAAAAAAAAAAAAAGAAAGTGAAAGTAAACATTTGATAAATTGAACCTCCATTCTTGATTAAAAAAAAGAATCCCCTAAGAAACCAGGAAGAGGATAAAGGACATCTACAAGAAATCTAGAGCAAACATTACTGGGGAAATACAGAAGTGTTCCTATTCAAATCAGAAGTGAGACACTGATGAGCTATTACTGCTGCTAGACAGTGTGGAGCTGTAGTCAGAGCCAGTACCACAAAACAAAATTAACAATTGTATACGCAGAAAAGTAAAATTGGTCATTATTTATAGATTATATGATTACCTAGAATCCCCAAGAAAATAAACGATCAAGCTATTATTAGAACTGGTAGGAAGGGTAGCCTAATTTAAAAAACACTGACTTTCTTGTACAATAATCACCTAGAAAATATAAAAATAAAAAAGGTTCTTATTGACCATTTTTGGTTTGGGTAAAAAAGAAAAAAAAAGTAAAAAGGCTGTATTTACAAGAGCAAGAAATACTGTTAAATTTCTGGTTATGAACATATGAGACACCTAATCTTACTTTAAACAGGAAAATGCAAGTTAAAAATGAGATACTGGCTGGCCGTGGTGGCTTATGCCTGTAATCCCAGCACTTTGGGAGGCAAAGGTGGGGGGATCACGAGGTCAGGAGTTCGAGACTAGCCTGGCCAACATAGTGAAACCCCATTTCTACTAAAAATACAAAAAAATAGCTGGACATGGTAGTGGGCACCTGTAATCCCAGCTACTCAGGAGACTGAAGCAGGAGAATTGCTTGAACCCGGTAGGCGGAGGTTGCAGTGAGCCAACATCATGCCATTGCACTCCAGCCCAGGCGACAAGTGCAAGACTCCATCTCAAAAAATAAATAAATAAAAATGAGATACCTTTCTTTTTATTTAGCAGATTAACAAAAATGGAAAAGATGGGTAATATCAAGTGTTGGAGAAGGCTTGGGGTAATGCAGGCGTTTTCTGGAGGCTAAAGCAACTCCATCTGGGAAGCTAATCTGCCATGTTGACTTTTCAACAACCTCTGTTCCAGGAATGACTCTAAGTTTTCTACTTTACCTACTATTACCATAAATCCTGCCCTTAGGCAGATTCACATAGCATTCATGACTTTGCCTGAGGGGTCAACTTCAATTATTCAACACACTCTTTCCCTATGGAGCCCTGGATTTGCAGGGTAATCTACCATTTCATCTCTGAAAGTATGGCCTCTATTCATAAGTCCCTATGAAATGTTTCTTTCTGAGAGACTGGATATGTCAGCCTCTTTCTTCGACTTTTCAGCTTCCCTGAACTTTGGGGGTAGGTTTGCATAGACCTGCTCACCCCAGAAGACCTTTATACCCAAATTTCTATGGTGTAAATGTTCCCCATGGCCGATTTCAAGCTGTCGAGATGATGTCACTGAATGGAGTTGGGAAGAGCTGTGCAGAAGCATGCCATTATGTAGATTTCCACCATGCAGACACAATAGATAGACGTAACATCAACAGCACAGATTTAAGAAGGCAGTAAAATGTTTGGAAAAGTGATGGATTTTTGGTTTTTGTTATCTGTAATATAACGTATTTAATTGTAAGTGTATATAATTTAGTTTTTTTTTTTTTTTAATGATTGCTGTGTTTAACAACAAACTCACCAAATTCCTGGAAATTTGACAATCAGTTTTCATGAGTTTGTCCAAGTTGGCCCCAGCACACTACTCCACTCATACTGTACATCTTTGCTACTAAATGTGTGATCTGTTGACCAGCAACATCGATAACATCTGGGAGCTTTTTAGAAATGCAGAACCTCAGGGCTTACCCCAGAGTTATTGAAGCAGCATCTGCATGTTAACAAGATTCCTAGATGATTTGAATGCTTGAGACACAGTATTTTAAAGTGCTGTGTAGCAGTTAATAAAAATTTCAAAAAAGGAGGTCAATCTTTAGGAACTGTTACAGAAAAGAATTCCAAATATACTGTTGAGTGAAAAAAAAAAAGCAATTTCTAGAATCTAAGGTGAGGACATTTAGATAAAACTCACACAATGAGCTAAATTTATATTTCTAGATGTTATGTAAATACATATGTAAATGGATAGAAACAGGTTTGGAAGGATAATGGTCACCTCTGGGTAAGGGAATGGTAATGGATTTGGAGTTCAGATGGGAAAGTCATGGGATGACTAGAGATCAAGAAAGAAAAAGTTTCTGAGAATCATTCCTGCCCTTGGCCTTCTGAGAAAATCTTCCCCGGCAGATCTTAGCTGATGTTAAGAATGCTACCATTATTCATTCATCTTTTTGGTTTAACACATATTAAAGTGCAAATACTTTTGTGTGAACATAGCAGTCATTACATACACTTCATTGTGAGTTGATAGGATACATATATCTTTTCTTTTCTTTTCTTTTTTTGAGATGGAGACTCACTCTCTCGCCCAAGCTAGAGTGCAGTGGCGCCATCTCAGCTCACTGCAATCTCTCCCTCCTGGGTTCAAGTGATTCTCCTGCCTCAGCCTCCCAAGTAGCTGGGATTATAGGCACCTGCCACCACACCCAGTTAATTTTGTTTTTTTTTTTTTTGAGATAGGTCTCACTCTGTTGCCCAGGTTGGAGTGCAGTGGCGCCACTTTGGCTTACTGCAACCTCCATCTCCTGGGTTCCAGTGATTCTCTTGCTTCAGCCTCCTGAATAGCTGGGATTACAAGCACGCATCACCATGCCTGGCTAATTTTTTGTATTTTTAGTAGAGACAGGGTTTCACTATGTTGGCCAGGCTGGTCTTGAACTGGCCACGAACAATAGCTAATTGGTCTAATAATAACACTAACAATAACTGATGAGCTGAAAACATTTCAAAAATATCTCATAATGTTTTAAGAAAGTTTATAAATATGCGTTGGGCTGTATTCAAATCTGTCCTGGGCTGCATGCGGTCCATGGGCGGTGGGTTGGACAAGTTTGCCCTTTTTTAAAAAAAATTTTTTTTATTTTTATTTTTTATTTTTTGAGAAAGA